ATGCACATAAGAAAACAAAAAAAAATGATGTAAACAAATGTTGGCTCCATTTGTTTTAAATTAAAAATGAATTGTGTGAATGCTGATTTAAATGTCCTGTTTATTATTTTTACCATATTTCTACAAAGTACTGAATGCTTTGTTCTATTTTAACCATTCATATATGAAAATGTTCATTCTAGATGGGAATACTGCAACATGACTTTCACTATTTTTAACTTTTTACATTTGTTGACTTATTTACAAACATTTTCACTTAATACATTGAGATCTCTTAAAATTCTTAACAAACATTGTTCTCTGAAATTATTTTTTCATCACGTGTTTTTAGCTACTGCCTTTCTAGTTTTAGCTTCTGTTTCTAATTTACTTTTCAATTAGTTTCATCATAATTGCAGAAAATGCCAACTTTACAGTTTAATGGAATACTGAAGTGGGCAGCACGGTGGCGCAACTGGTAGAGCTGCTGCCTCTCAGCGAGCAGGTCCCTGGTTCAAACCCCGGTCCAGGGGCCTTTCTGGGTGGAGTTTGCATGTTCTCTCCGTGCATGCGTGGGTTTTCTCCGGGTACTCTGGTTTCCTCCCACAGTCCAAAAACATGCATGTTAGGCTGATTGGTAACTCTAAATTGTCCCTAGGTGTGAGTGAGAGAGGGAATGTTTGTTTGTCTCGTTTGTCTCTATGTGGCCCTGTGATGGACTTGCGACCCGTCCAGGGTGTACCCCGCCCCTCGCACAGTGATTGCTGGACATGGGCACCAGCGACCCCCGTGACCCAAAATGGAATAAGCGGGTAAAGAAAATGGATGGATGGATGGTATACTGAAGTTTTAAATAAAATGTGTTTTTACACATGTGCTTTTAAAGCCTTGTGCCATTTCATGCTAATTAAAAATCTAAATTATGGAGGAATCTGTTTTGGAAATTAATTGGTATAGCTTGACTCAATGATTTAATCCATCAATAAAATTTGCACAATAAAAGATAAAATAAGGCTAAAGGACTTGTGAAATAAATAAAGGTGATGTTCATAAATAACTCCAGTTGTATGGGAGAGCAAAGGAGAGCTGAAGTAGACATTCTGCCTTGTTAAGGCAGGCCCAGTTTTACACTGACACTAGATACAAAGTGGGTAAAGACAACTTGCTACGCTGCCAGCAAAAATACCCTCATCTTGAAAACCCCTAACCTTTCTTCAGGTGGTAAATAAGTTAGCCATCACTCAACCATATCTTGTGCAATTACAAGGAAAAGATGTGTGTGACGGGCATCTCCAGCAGAAATTGCCTCTCCTTCACTTCAGTCTGTCTGTTGCTGTAGAGCTGTTGTACTTTCCACATTTAGACACAACAGCATTTTTTTTAATATAAAGAGCAAGCTCAGCACCACAGTGTCAAAACAAAGTTACCTCTAAAGCTAGTAAAGGTCAGAGCTGAGGGGAAGCTGACAAAGTGAGGAGAGCTAAATGATTCAGCTTTGCTCATTTTCTTTTAAAGGAAAACAAAAAAACAGATTCTGACCTGGTATCACTCGTAAACTCAAGAGCTTTCCATATTTTATTTAACGTAGGCACAGGCCTGTCATGATAACAAATTTTGCTGGGCGATTAACTGTCTCAGAAATTCATTCATTCATTCAACCTTTATTTAGACAGGTAAATCCCATTGAGCCTCGAGGACTCATTTACAAGAGAGACCTGATTTCAACAAAGAGTGATGACAACAATGGACAACAGCGACAACAATAAACAGTTATAAAAAGTCATACAATTTTTCCTTTCTTTTTTAACAAATAGGATGGCTAAAAAAGAAAAGTAAAAAGAAAAGTAACAAAAAACAGCTGGATTCTAAGGCGAATGTAGAAAACTAAAAACAGGAACATGTCTGCGTTGGTCCTTGCCAGGAGTCCAACAGATTCTTAAAGCCACTTAGAGGTCAAGGTCGAGAGCTTCAGGTCTTTTTGTAAGATATTCCAGGAAACAGGAGCGGAGTAGGAGAAGGCCCTTTTGCCTAGTTCAGTCCGCACTGAGGGAACACTGCAGGTAATAATGTCCTGAGAGCGCACGCTGTAGCTGCACTCACGCAGAGACATGTAGGAGGAGATGTATGAAGGCAGAAGACCAAGAAGTGATTTAAAGATGAAAATGTACCAGTGAGAGAGTCTGTGTGAAGTTAATGATGTCCAGTTAACCAGTGAATACAGGGTGCAGTGGTGGGTACAATAATCACAGCCAGTTATGAATCTTAGTGCACCATGATAGACAGCATCCAACATCTGCAGGGTTCTTGTAGGAGCGTTCATGTAAATAATGTCCCCGTAATCAATGAAAAGAAGGAAAGTCACAGATACAAGGTGTTTCCTAGCATTCAGAGTTAGACAGGATCCGTTTCTGAAAAAGAAACCCACTTTAACTTTCAGTTTCTTTAATTGTCTCAGAAATTATTGCGATAAACGATAATATCGTTTGAAATTTGACAATAATTAGTAATTATTGTCATATTTAAGAAGAAATGTTTTCTATCTTATTTTATTTTGTTTTGCATGTAGTACCTTTTTTCGACCATCGGATGACAGTATAAGACTGACCAGAAGCATGGCTATTGAGGGAGCGAGCAGCGTGTCTCTTTAAGAAAAATGGGAGGGAAGCACTTTGGAGCTTTGACAAAATGAAGGTTTTTCTCAAGGGCGGCCTGTAAGCTTAGCTCGTAAGTTAGCTGTTCAGCTTAGCTGCTTTTAACGATCCAAAAACGTGATTTTGGATCGTTAAAATGAATTTTAAAGAGAAAGGGGTCAGTAAAGAGTACCAGAGTTGAGCCTTTTGTCATCCAGTGTCTTCAGTAGAAAGAGAGCGACACGAAAACACGATAAAGCCGATAAATGAAAATGAGGTCGATAATTTTCATTCATCATGCAATTAATTGATTTATTTTTTATTGCGACAGGCCTACGTAGACATTGACAAAATCTTTGTCCTCAGAAAGTTTTGGTTTGGCAAGTATGTTGCTTTGACAAAAAAAAAAAAATATATATATATATATATACATATATATAT